GTGCTTTTCGGACTTCACCTGTAGAAAGTCTATATGCGGAAGCTGGGGAACCATCACTTTACCTTCGTCGCAAAAAGCTATCACTTCAATATGCAACTAGAATTTCATCTGATAGGAAAAATCCAGCTAAAAATATTATTTTCAAACCAAGTTATACTGAAAAATTTGTTTACAAACCAAAGGAAATTAAACCATTAGGCCTTCGTTTAAAAGATGATTAGATAAACTTAAAATTAATCCAGACAGTATCCTTCAAAATGACGATGAGGATGTTCCACCTTGGACTTATAATTCCACGGAAATACATATTAACCTTTTAAATATAAAAAAGGCATCAAATTCACCTGAATATTTCAAAGAGAAGTTTCTAGCAATTAAGGAAGAACATGAAGATTTTATACATATTTATACGGACGGTTCAAAAGAAGGTTGCAAAGTAGGTGCGGTTGTGTTTGAAAATAATTTTACATCTAGTATGAGGTTACCAGATAATGCATCAATTTTTACTGCTGAAGCAAAAGCTATCGATTTAGCGTTGTCATACATAGCACAGCATACCCACGATAAATTTGTGATATTTTCTGACTCGCTTTCTGTTTTAATATCCATTAAAAATAAAAAATCTGACAATATCATGGTAAAGAAACTTCTTTTACGATTTCATGATATACTAAAAACAAAATATGTTAAATTATATTGGATTCCAAGTCATGTAGGAATACGAGGAAATGAAAAAGTAGATGCTTTAGCTAAACAATCATTAAATTTTCAAAAAACTGACTTATTGTTACCTGCTTGTGATTTTAGACCGGCTATAAATAAACTCGTATCATCTGAATGGAAAGCAAATTGGGACAATGCCGTTTTTAATAAACTTCACGATATAAACCCATCTCTTGATATGTCACCATCTCTATCTCTGTCAAACCGCCATGATCAAACAGTTCTTCTTCGATGCCGAATTGGACACACCAAAATTACCCACTCTTATCTCCTCACAAATGACAATGCCCCTTTCTGTGTAGGTTGTAATGAAAATTTTACTGTCAAGCATTTTCTTCTTGAATGTCATGATTTTTCACAGGCCCGTAATAGATTTTATTCTGTAAATTCACTCAAAGAACTTTTTAATACAATTCCATCAAAAAACATAATTGATTATTTGAAAGAGATAAACTTGTATTCTAGGATCTAATTGGCTCATTTCTATTGTCATTTACAATGTTTTACATAACATTTTAAGCCTATTATAGCATTCGGCACGATATGGCCAGTTATGTGTTGACGTGCCGTAAAAATCCAAACAAATAAACAAACAAAACGTGTCTGCCTGCAACAGTCTTAATATTAATAGAAAAATGGATACCCCATATGATGTTATATGGGGTGCATCTCCATCGTAAGGTGAATATTTAAACGGTGTTATGATCATATCATTATCTTTTATCATAAAATAAGAAAGTTTAGTTTTTATAAAGTGGGGGTTGCGTTCATTGAACGCCGCCTTTCCTTGTTGGTCTTGTTTTTCATATTTATACCCCCGCAAAACAAAGTTGTAAGGGGGTATACTAGAATCAGCTTGTCCGGCCGTCCGTCGGTTTTTTCTTGTCCGCCCAATAACTTAAGATTCCTTTGACCCTTAGTCTTCATATTTGGCATGGAGGTTAGTCATGATTAGTAGATGACCCCTATTGATTTTGAGATCACTAGGTCAAAGGTCAAGGTCACAGGGGCCTTGACTTCAAAAAGCTTGTCCGCCCAATAACTTAAGATTCCTTTGACCTACAGTCTTCATATTTGGCATGGAGGTAAGTCATGATTAGTAGATGACCCCTATTGATTTTGAAGTCACCAGGTTAAAGGTCAAGGTCACAGGGGCCTTGACTTCAAAAAGCTTGTCCGCGCAATAACTTAAGATTCCTTTGACCCATAGACTTCATATTTGGCATGGAGGTTAGTCATGATTAGTAAATGACCCCTATTGATTTTGAGGTCACCGGGTCAAAGGTCAAGGTCACAGGGACTTTGACTTCAAAAAGTTTGTCTGCCCAATAACTTTAGATTCCTTTGACCCACAGTCTTCATATTTGGCATGGATGTTGATCATGATTAGTAGATGACCCCTTTTGATTTTGAGGTCACTGGATCAAAGGTCAAGGTCATAGGGACTTTGACTTCAAAAAGTTTGTCCATCCATTAACTTAAGATTCCTTTGACCCACAGTCTTCATATTTGGTATAGATGTTGATCATGACTATAAGGTGACCCCTAATGATTTTGAAGTCACTGGGTCAAGGTCACAGGGACCTTGACAAAAAAAAGCTTTTCTTCTTAATTGCTAAAGAATGTACTGTCCGCAATGTATTGACATTTTCACATTTGAAGCATGTAGAATACATAACTTAGCAATGCACTTAGTAACCTCAGATTTGGCAGGGAGGTTGTCCTTGAGCTCTAAATGGCCACTGTTGATTCTGACAAAGTGGTATGCGGGGGTATTCACGCCATGATAGTGGCAGTTCTAGTTTATAGTATTATAAGGGATGGTAATGATTTATTACCATGTGAGATATGATGTTTGAATAATAAATGTTATTAGACTTAATGACTGTACGGTCAAAATAAGGATATCCACTTTCTTTTTCAGATTTTTAAGTAATGCTTGTTAAAAGTCGAGTCTGTGGGTTAAATTAGATCTTGCAAAACGAAATGTATATATAGTTCATGTGAGATATGATGTTTGAATCATAAATCTTATTAGACTTAATGACTTTACGGTAAAAATAAGGATATCCACTTTCTTTTTCAGATTTTTAAGTAATGCTTGTTAAAAGTCGAGTCTGTGGGTTAAATTAGATCTTGCAAAACGAAATGTATATATAGTTCTAATGAAATAACGGCGGTATTTTTTAAATTAATCCTCTTGCAAATCATTTACTAACCGAATAAGTGTTTGATTAAGTGGCCTATGTGGCCTAGTTGTTAAGGTTCCTTACGGTTAGTTACATACCCTTTAACCACTGTCTGTTCCAGTGGATTTCGGCTTGTCATATGTTAAGAAGTGATCTTTCTAGCATACACAAGGCTATTGCAACAACGGTGCTTTATCATTGCTGTTATAACAGCTATATTTTGGTACAGTTGGGATTTTTCTCAAACAACTATCGCTATAAGATTCCAACAGAGTTTTGACTCCCGCCCTCGAAAAAGTATAGCAATAGCCATCTACATGATAAGGGTCTTAAATAAATAAGGTATCAATTGAAATGAAACACATTATAAATAAATTATCATTTATCAGCATGCAATGTTCACCTTTAATTTCGTTGACAACTTATCCACGTTTTATATCATTATATCAGTATCTGGTGATTATTATCATACTATTATTTGACTCCTTGCTGATTCAATTTTCGACTTCAATTTTTTCTTAAGTTCGTTTAAATTAACGCTTAACGTACTATGGTAAGTAAGATTTGTCCTCGCACATTTCTTTATTAGTCCCCTACCGGTTTAACCGGAGGGGACTTTAGGTTTACCCTCCGTCCGTCTGTCCGTCTGTCTGTCTGTCCGTCTGTCTGTCTGTCTGTCAGTCCGTCAGTCCGTCCGTCCACAAAACTGGATCCCGCGATAACGCAAAAAGTACTGAAAATATTTTTATGAAACTTGATATATGGATAGATGGCAGTATGGAGATTATGCACGTCTTTTTTTTTTCTTCCTATGTTGAAAATTCTGGTTGCTATGGCAACAAATAGTCTGAAAATATGGCAAATTTAACACATAAACTGGATCCAGTGATAACTCAAAAAGTACTGAAAATATTTTTATGAAACTTGAAATATGGGTAGATGGCAGTCTAGAGATTATGCACATCTTTTTCTTTTCTTCCTATGTTGAAAATTCTGGTTGCTATGGCAACAAATAGCCTGAATTTCAAGATTTCTGATTTAAATTTTTCAGCTTTTTCACTATATGTTCTTTATTTCTTAAGGTGTTTACTTCAAACTTTAAATATAAGTTTCTGGTCATCAACCACATCATATGTGACAAGGTTTATAACTCTAGCACAAAAAATATCAGTATTACCTCCCTTGAACTTAGATTTTTTAGGGGAAAAAATGTTGTCTTTTTTAAATAACTTCTTTATTTCCTAATGTATCTACTTCAAACTTCATATATATGTTTCTTATTATCACTCGACATTTTTGAGAAGGTTAAATACTCTAGCAAGACTATTTCCAGGATTATGTCCCCCTTGAACTTAGATTTTTTTCGAGAAACTGGTATTTTCACTCCAACTTCTAAATTCCTTATAGGATTTACTTTAAAATCCCACATCGTAATAATATGACAAGGTTGTATAAACATAATTTCCTTACTAAGCATGGAAACTTAACACATTACTGTGATATAGACAAACTTATTTTATTATGTTTTGTGGTCGATATTTTCAAATACAGACTTCATCCTCAAATTCATTATAAATGGCAATACACAGGAGTGTATGACAATTAAAGAACTTTTTGAGGGACCGGTAGGGGACTACTGTATTGCCCGCAATACTATCAAATGCTTGTTGAATTGATGTTTTAAAGGCATGTAATTGAAAACGATGTTTAATCTTTATAAACTGTGTTATCCTTCCAGTGTGTTAAATCAATAGCATCTAGCAGATTAAACGAACGATATAATCGTGATACCTGAATAGAAAACAGGAAGAAAATTAGTACAAAAGTACACAAAATTCCCCTCAAAAGTCACCCGCTTTCGTATCAATTTTCTTTGTATTCTATTAAAACACTCAATAGAAGTACTTTATGACTGAGTCAGTCTACTGGCTCATACGTAGCTAAGTTATTATCGCTTAACAATATTAAATAATCAATATGGTCTACGCATGCGCGAAAAATCAAGGTAACCGGTAGTAAACATTGATTTCAGGTGTTTAACGCAATCAAATTTTAGGTGTTAAATACGATTAACTTTTTTTTAGTAAAATGGCGAAAAGAATTGACAATGAAACAACAGAAAGAGGGAGTTTAAATGTCAAGGTAATATTCGTTTACTTATTTTAAATCATTGTTTTGACTCTGTTTAACTATCAACAATGCTCTATTATTATAGTATTTGTTATGAATAAATGTAGGACACCTCTTTGTTATTGAAAACAGGTCAGTTGAAAGGTGATGGGAATATGTTATCGTCTAAAAACATTGTTTATTTAAACTTTTATAAATGACAAAAACATAAACGGTTTAAACAATCGTTATTTTCTTCCTTGTCAAGCTTGTTATCATATATCGATCAATGTAAACTTAGGTGAATGCATTGTTTTATTATTTTTCGTTTAACATTAAACATGTTAAAATAGATATGTACACATTCAGTTTACCAGAACATAATTGACCGAAATGATGCTATACATGTTAAACTTGGCATTTCAGGCAGACGTTTAAACAATTAGGTCGATAAAATATGTTTTTTAAATTAACAACCGAGGCACGTTATGCCACAAAAACGAATAAATGCTTCCTTTTTAGAAGAACAAACATCGCTTTGTATCATGAAAATAACGGTTTTAGAGCAGGATAAATGTTTATCACCTGGAAAAAGAAGCACTGAATGTGAAAATGCTTGTCATATAAGTAGAAAAATGTAAATAAAGTAGGTTTTTTACTTCTACATCAAATAATCACTGCAACTGCACTTTTCGCTAAAAGGCAATTGAAGCAAAAGATGGTTCAATGAATAGGCCTACGAAAAACACCAACACTTAATAAGAAATAAAATCATAGCGTTTTTGGAACATAATCGACCTTTTGAGTATTTTTTCTCTGTTTTCCGTGATGCCACATAAGCATAATAATAGATCAATACATGTACATTTGTTGGTTTACATTCATATTTAATAGTACCATACACCCAAGATAAGCAAATGATGCATTAATGTTTTCCTAATGGAAGAGTTTGTCATTTTAATGTTCTACTACTTGCTATTTTATTATAAACATATGCACTGTTCGCATATTGCTACATGCTAATTATTATGTCATCTTGGGCATGTTACATTTGTATGATTATATAAAATATGTGTTTGTATGTCTACTTTGTAAAAATAATTTCTTGAATGCTTGGATATTTGAGTGTGAATACAAAGTGTCATTGATACAAACTGGCAGGATTTGTCAAAGGAAGGACCACGTGAACTGGAACAGTAAAAAGATATGCTTCAACAGCTTTGTTTGTACATTCTATCATTCGAATGAAATTTATTTAATGAGAATTTCCTAGATTTCAATATATGTTTGTATTTAAGATTTTTTTATTTAAACTATTCTTTACTTCACATGGAGCATTGGATGCCGTTTATTATTATGCATACAACTATGTAAATATATATATATAGGAAATTAAGTGATTATAAAATAATGTTAAGTATTGAAATTCAAAATAATGTAATCCTCTTTCTAGCTTGCATTTCGACTTGTAAGTGCCTTAGGCATAAGATGATCATTTATGAATATTGGTATAAAATGGTTATCGATCTTAATAATTTCGAACGATAATACATTTTAGAAACAGATGTGGAAAAATAAATCAATTCTTTTGTGTTCTATATTGATTTATTTAAATTTATAGCAGGAAATTACAGTTATAAAGCTTTAGTTTTGAAGTATATCTTTAAAATAGATAAATACAGAATCCCTAAAGAAAGTCCAACACGGCAAAATTGAAAATGTTGCAGGCTCGGTTTGATTGAGCCTGTTCATGGACGGTTTAAAAGCCATTTTTACAGCGCATCATACATACAGGTATATTTTTAAGTTTCAATTGCAAGACAAAAGTGTAACATGGCAAATTCTTGTTACTGAAATAGGTTAAATGATTATAATAATGATATACACGAGACAATGCCTACAAAAATATATTCTCTTAAAACATACTTAAACGCACCAGACGACGATACCTGTTTGATGATTATTAAAGAACTATAGCCGCCGCAAGAAAGAGTGAATGAAAATTTAAAGGATTCAAAATGTGATATATATAAGCAATGTTGTCATTGACTGTTTTCAGAGAAGGGTTTTCATAATCCTTATCGTGTTTGTTATTGTGGAGTTGGTTGTTCTGTTGGTTCTTGTTGTAATCTGGCGATTTCAAAGAGATGACCAGTTGGCACCTAGACAACAGCGAATGTGTTACCCACAGGTCAAGTTAATAGTAGACGACAATACAGCTTGTCCGGAGGGACTCGTGTCTAAATTTGATGAAGCAAAGAATGAAACAACCTGTTGTGGAAAACTGAATGAAATTTTAGATTTGGTCTCGAATAAGGTATTTATTGATTAAGCAATTTATTACAATTCCTTATTACCAACGTTTATCTGGGTACAGTATATTATTTCACGTATAAAACATATTTAGGTTTACAAAGTATAAGGACGTCGGACTAGTAATCTAAGGATTGTTGACCGCGTGGGTTCAAACCTTGTCAGGGACAAGCCGTTGTTTCCTTGAGCAAGAAACTATACATTCAGTGCTAAGTACTGGTTGGTTCCAGGAACGGATTTGAGTGTTTCAATAAGCTTATAGCTTCCAACACAATCGAACTAAAATAATTTTTATAAACTAAAGTATAAGAGAATGGATCATATAGTTAAGGGGCCCTTCGTATTAGATATTGTTTAATATGTCAAATATGTATAAACTTATCAAACACTATGCTTTTCAAATGAGTGTAATACATGTATTGCAGACTGTATATGACAGATATAATAGTAAAATAAATCCAGGTGAGATTCTACGTTTATTTTGTCTTTTTCATAAATAATAATACATTATTAAATTCGAAGCTATTTCATTGTTTGATGGTACAATAGTAAGAAAAAATAAGGCTATATGTAGTTTGTTTAGATACCATGTGTTATACATATATAAAAATATATTAAATGCAAATAATCATTCTGTTTTAACTATTGCGATGATATAAACAATAACCTGTTTAACTCGTTTTAATACGTTTAAACAGAAATAAGAACATATGATCCAAAGGCATATAACTGTAAAGCCACAGAGCAAAATATGGCTGTATCCCGGTTTGGTTTAAGACATGAACGGAAACCAGGTAATGCTCTATTTTATTTAAATGTCATCTTGGAACGAATGTCATATTTACTTTTTGAAACAATAATGTAAAACAAATGAAAGTAATAGTTAAATAGATATTGTTTTTCTTTACAAATATCAAATAAAGGCTATTATACTTATATATCTTATCTTAATAATAACGATTTAACAACGGATCCAGTGAGATATCTTTCTAACGCGCTTCACACTATTCTCTATCAAACAGATAGGGCAATCATACTAAATAAAATTTTCCGGTATATACTGGACAAATGACTGAATGCTAAAAGCTTGCCTTTTCATTTGCCGAAATGCCATATAAAACAACTATGTCATCTCTTCACACCGATTCATATACGAATAAATGCGTAAATACACTGTAACTGTAGTGAGTTTAAGCTATATTATATTATATATTATCTACTGTTAAAACCTTTTACTTTGCTACATCATTCAAATGACACAACTGTTTGAACTACAATTTAGGCCTGAAAAATGCTTAAAAATACAGTTATGTTACTTTGTTTACAGTTCCCATAGATTCGACACACAAACTATTTTGGGAAAATGACAAATCAATGGAAAGCTCTGGATTAAGGTACTCGGAAGAGGATGGTCAAGTCATGTTAGAGGGTCTAGAAGGAACAGAAACTTACCATATTTCGTTGCAGCTAAAATTAAATATGAGCCAAGCCACTGGTATTTTGGATGGCAAAATAAGGAATCGTGTGCATTTGTTATCAGATAACGGGTCAGCAGTTATTTTGGAAGATGTGTCGTCACCGTGCATAATGACGTCACATACTGCATCAGCGAAAACAAGCGTTGTTGGAGCTGTGTTCCGACTCAAATATGGTGATCGGTTATATGTGACTACAACCCATCCTGAAAACATCGTGTCTGATCCACACAACAATTATTTCAGCATACATAAATTATAAGTCGCAGTTATGTTGAATGTTGTAAAACGATTATAAATCAACTATCAAAAATCTAAACATGTAAAGACTATTGATAAAGATCTAGATAAAGATAAAGATAGATTCTTACTCTATATTGTAACAAATTCATTCCACATCGTTCAGTCAAATCTTAAAACGAATGACGTTTTGTTTCATGGAAATATTTTTTGTATGAACGTCTTTCAATCATATTAGACATTTAGCATTTAGTTAGCATCATCCTTGAATGTACATTTGGGTTAGAAGACTTTCAGTGTCGGGTACGCCTAAGTCAATATCGTCGGGAAAGCTAATCAAAAATAGCTGTGTCACCAAACGTCTTAATAAAAGACATTTCTAACACGCTTGTATTGGTGAATCTTAAAAAGATAAGCAGAAACATCAAACCCCAATGTTGCAGACATTTCGGAAAATTTATCATTCTGCTGTCATCATGACGAAATAGTTAATATGTTGTCATGTGATTAAATTAGTGCTCAATTAGCGCAGTCGATTGAGAATTTAAACCATGTGATTTTTATCCAGTATCTATTCAAAATCAAGTTATTTCTCTAAAAAACTGTTATAAAGGAAAAGAATTTTGTTTTATTTTTCTATTTTTGATTAAAAACAAAGAAACACGATAATAGAACCCAAAAGTTTACATGTTGTAATTCTTAGCGGTCTACGAGATCTAACCAGGTTTCGAAGTGATGTGGCGGACAAAAGTTGTTTTTCTGCTTAATTGCAGAGAATGAGCAAACGAGCTTGATTAAAAATATTTATTTTTTTACTTTTACATGAGTTATTATGATAACCTCTGATTAATTCTAGGTTCTCAATATATATTTATATGAAAATTGCTACGGTGCATCTGTTTCTATGTATTTATAAGCATTTGTAAAATTGTTTTCTTAACCAGAAGGAAAACGTTTTATGCGAATTCAATTTTTTTTACTGCATAATTATTCAAACACCTTGGTCTGTTGTAATTAAACGAATGTTCACACAAATGTTCTAATACAAAGCAAAATTTCTGTACATGTGCATACAATTTCATGTAAATATAGAAATGAGTCACAGGCACACACATTATACTTTCATATCCATTATGATATTACACACGGAAGTATTATATGACACTCACTGCAAGGTTAGTGAAACAGTTAATGGCTGATTATCATTTCACTTTTATTCATACTTTGATCATGTGTGCATTCGTGTAACATAGTCTTTATTATATCATTATAAGCATTTTATTGAAGAATTTCAGGAGTTTTTCGTAAGAATTTCAGAAGAAATATATACGACTTTTTACGCAAATATCAAATTATAATAAAGTAAACCATTCAATATCTTTTTAAAAATGGCGACTTCTAAGCCTCGGTAATTTCATTATTTTGATAAATTTAGGTTAGAATCGTTTCCTATATCTAAACTAGAACTAGCACCTAGCTTATCATATGCACGTGTACTGTCTTCAAATATTAATACCAAGTGCATTGTCATACGTTTTATGGTGTTCGAGAACAAAGTTTTAATTGTGTGAAAATTGCACATGCCACTTTTGTAATTCACTCGAGGCGGTATATTTTTGTAGCAACATTAATGACCATAAGCTTTCTTCTTTCACTAAGAACACACCAACCATAATCACTGCGGTATACCGTACCCCGGATATTGCTCGATATTATGAGGACTTTCATACCATTTCGCGACTTTGAACGGGGAACGAAGGTAAGTTCAGCGACGATATTTCCAAACTTATGGCTATTTCATTTATCTCAACGGGTTTTATATATCTAGAGGTATTTTTGTAGCTCTAAAAGACATAAAAGTATTGCAGGTATTTGTAAAATTGATTAAACTACCCCCAAACGATTCGCTGCTCACTAGAAAATATTGACCGCGATACTGTAGAATCGTTAGAAATTATAAAATTACTTAATATAAAAAAATTGAATCGAGCAATTTTTTTTATTTACAATCGAAGTATACTTTGTCCAAATTTCAGGCAAAAAGTGTGAAAGTACAAAAAGATATAGGCCAAAAAAGATACAAGAAAGTGTACCGAGTATTGATTTTAAGTGTACAGAGTATTGCAAGATAGCCCAACTTTAGTGTACAGTGTATTGCAAAACAGAATGAGCACACAAGTATGGACAATCGATATTTTGTCTAACTTTTACGTCTGTTTATCGATTCCATTTTATTTTTCTGATAATGTACTGTTTATATGATATTTATTCCAATATTTCAAATTCAACAATGCATTTTCAGTGTTATTACTGTTCTTTTTCTACGGGCAAATACAGAGATTTAATTTCCCAGTCGATTGAAAATCACACTATGGATGAAATAAAGTTAAAGTGTGTGCAGGGTCAGAAGCAGGGTCGGGGGCAGGGTAGAACCATCAAAATTGACGATAAAAATCTTTAAATACATGTCTCAAGAAACTGTGATCAAGAAGACCCATCTCCGAAAAGAAGAAATGAAAAACATATTTAGATGACATAAATAATAGGAATTTACAGGGCAAGTTTGCCTTAAGAAACATATGGACACACTTAGTAAAATATTAGCCCGAGGGCTTATGCCGTCCAAGCATGCCGGTATCGTTTTAACCTTTTACTGCATGAGCATATTGCGAAAAATGGCTGTTTTCATTGACTAAGCCTCCTGTTATAAGTTCAAACTGCTATGAAACTATAAAAAATGCTTCAATACTGATCAAACTGGGCACAATGTTAGCTGGACCATAGCCTGTGGCATGCTCAATTTTAAATTTCCAGTTACTATGGCAACGAGGGAACGTCTCAAAATTGCCAAAAATCTCTATTTTGCGATGTTTTTCCCCCATCAAAACTGATTTCAAGTTGCAGCAACTTTTCAATTGATTGAGATAAATTCTAGGTTTTTCGGCGTTGATTACACGGTACCTTTAAATCGGCCTAAGGCCATTTTAGCCCCCTCCCACAAGTCCCAAATCTTCTCAGCGATTAGAGGGGCTACTGCCCCACTTCAAGCCCCGAAACAGAAGGAGACACATCCCCCCTGTGGCACCCCCTTCATGTACCTTTTTAATGGGGGTGTCGCCGATAAAGTTATCACTCTTCTGAACAACATTTCTCAAACGAAAAAACAGTGTTGGGGCCTTAATAGCGCATGCTATGAGGCCTCAAAAGGGCTGGGGTTTAAAGCCTTCAAAACACGCCTTTATGATGTAAAAGGTTATAAGGAATATAACGTTTTATTACATCTGCTGCCCTTAATAATCATAATCTTATAAAAATCCATTTTTCGGTTTTTTGAGCTGTATCCGCTCGGCAGTCATACGATAACTCATTGCTAATGACGTAACAAATTTCACGCGCAGACGGTCTCCCGTTGCTAGAGTACAGGTGCAAAATGACCGAACGTTACCTTTATATGGATATTTGGCATAGTAGGAAGTCGGTTGATATTAGATATTTGCACACTTGCTCAATACCGATCTAATAATGACAATCTTGAGGCAGCTTGAATGCATTTTGGATGCATTTATTTTACTATTTAAAGTAAGATATGCAATAATTATTAACAAATTCTGGAAAGGTTGATCCTTCGATAGCAACGAGAACTTTGTAAACACAGAAAATTGCTTAGTTCGTTCGACAGCAGGAATGAAAATCTGGATTATTCGCACATATTTCCAGTAAAGTACCTCCGAACTCTGTATATTCTGCAAATATAGTTAAATAAGTATACACAATAAGAAATATTTTAGATTAAATATGGTAAATACTCTGTGTTAACTACTTGCATTTACTCTATATTGATATCCAATACTCGTTACACTAAAAAGCAATACTCGTGACACCGGCGGGCAACTCCAACGCAATACTCGGTACACTGACATGTGTATTTATTCTCAAAATGCACTGTCATCTGAGGTTATTGTTGATTGAACATTTACAACATAAACATTATCATCATTATCACATTTCACTCGATTCAAGTTTTTCTTTTAAGGAAGTATATGCACAAAAACATCAAATTTGACTGATCCGAGCTCATTTATCACATGAGCAAAAAGTCGAATTTTACCTGCTAATTACATTTCAAAGCTATTTCTCAACATTTTTGGGTTTTCAGTAACTAGGGAAGTTATCGAAGTATTTGTATTTCTATAAAATTTATATCAAACCAATTCAAAATGACTAAATATCGTCACTGAACTTCCCTTCTTTCCTCGTTTAAAGTCGCGAAAAGAGATGAAAGTCCTCAAAATATCGAGCAATATCCGGGGTACAGTATACCGCACTGATAATATTGACATCATAAAATCTTGCTCGTAGAAAAGTTAGTAAGTAAAACGAGCAATTTCTGGATAGTAAGTCACACGAAAACAAAATATTAAGTTTCATATATAGTTTCTATTACTGACATATACATTGAAAGGATATTTACATGGTACAGTAGAAACGTTAGTAAGTAAAACGAGCAATTTCTGGATATTAAGTCACATTAAATAGAGAGAAATAAGAATCCCTAAAGAAAGCCCAACACGGCAAAATTGAAAATGTTGCAGGCTCGATTTGATTGAGCCTGTTCATGGACGTTGTTTATTTTTTAAAAAATAAATGATTATAATTATGTATTAAAATGAATGAATGAATCCATGAGTTTCTTTACTGTAATATTTAAAAAAATACATATAAATGTTGTAACACGTTTCAAATATATGATTATAAAAAACCCCAAACAAACACTTGATTGTTATGCTAGTTTTATCTTTAAGTTATCAAATTATTTTTAAAAAAAATTGCATGATCAAAAATTTAATTTAACAGTTAAAGGAGCTCCACTGAGGTCTGACAGGTAATTTGGTGTCCGAAAAAATGTACACAAATTTCCACACAAATCACAATATCACAATTACGCTAGAAAATGCATTTTTCACATAAGCTTTGATGCAAAAATGAAAATGGGTTTTCCCAGACATGTACAGAAGTTACCCACAATTCATCGGGTATGACTAAAATATGCAACGGAGATGACTAAAATACGCAATGGAAATTTTGGGGCAACAGAGTAAACGGGGGAAATTGTCTATTGATTTTTCTCAACACTCTAACCTATTGTGCTTATATAACTTGAGTATAACGAAGAAAAATTGTATAAAAGCTATTCAAAGTAGCAATTTTGATGTCTTGAAAAATTAAACGCCAGCGAAACGGACATTTTCTAGACAAAACGGAGAGATGTAGGCTACCGAATATTGTTTTGATGTATATTGAAAGTTTTCAATTTCGATATTTAGAAGAATTGGATGAAGACGAACATAGTGCATCGGTGATATTTATACTATAACGAGCACAATGTAATCACAATAATAAATGTATTTAACTCTATCTATTACGTATTTAAATCGAATACGGTTAATGACATTCCATCCTTTAAGAAATGATGAATTTAAAAGCATGTCACATTTCATTTGATTTTCTGTTTTGGGGGTGGGGTGGGGGTTTACGTTGCACAAAACAGTGTAGGTCATTATGACGACTCTTCAGTGTTTTTTTTTGGTGGAGAAAGAACTCAGGTACCCCACTTTGCAAAATTGTTTCTGGCACAAACGGACATCTGAGTACAATGAGTGATGTTTCAAAGGCTATCTTAATAGGACCGTACACACATGTTCCAACACACTCATTTCTGAACATTACATCAAATTCAATTGTACATCTGTCATTTTGTAAGTTATGTAATAGAAAGAGCATCGAAACACGAGACTATCTGATTTGTACGAGG